GGTCCTTAGGACCTTGTCCTAAAATTAACAAATACATGCTTATGAACGAAACGAAACAAAAAATCCTTCTTGCTTACGACCTCAGTTCACCATATCAAACTTGAAACTTTGTATATTGTGCTTTTCATTAACACGCGAACTCTGAAATTCAAATCTTAACTAATGATCGCTTTTTAATTCCATTCCATTATAATTACAACCTGCAACCCCTAAAAACGGAAACAATATGGATCGAAATCTACCAATTATAACCCATAGTGACCTGCGACGTTACTCCGAAGAAATTTTTGCGGCTTTGCTTTGAAAACCTGCCATTGAATTCGAGAAACTTCAAGTGCCAGATTCCATGGCATGCTGAGACAAAAATTGCCTAAATATATAACAGAGGCTATATAAAAACAGCAGGAAGTTACCCTAGGTAAGATTCTCAAGTGTGATTATTTTTTTTGAAATCCCAGCAAACTCCTCAAGTGTACTAGGATTAAGTGATGCTGACCTCTCTAATTTTAGGTTTTCTGTCATCTTCACGTGAGGTATGGGTACCAATGCTTGGCAAATTATCATCATCAGCTCCTGTTTTCAAACAAGATAATAAACCCAGTTAATAACTTAGCTCATCAAAATTCTCCGGAAGTCCAGTGGGCAGTGATCATCTGACAGGTGTGCAAAAGGTCATGAGGGAGGAATCACAATTTTTTTTCTGGGACAAATTTTGTTGCTGACTTTTAGCTGGTACAAAATTTATGTAAATCCTTCTTCAGTACTGAGCGATCTCAGGGAGAAAGTTTAAAGAAACCTGTGCAGGTTTGGCTTCTGACATATATGCTGTTGGCTAGGAGAAAAAAAAATGAAACGTTCTGTTGTGTGCGGCCCTTTATAATCACTGAGAAGCGATATATATTTTACCAGTAAAGAGAAATCCGTTTGTAGCAAATGAGTTATTTTTCGTATACATGGAGCTTCTAACTTAAGTTGCCAAAGCTTTGCCGGGGAAATGCTTTCCTTTCTGTTTAAACAAGTCGTAGTTTGAGCCATTTGACCCATTGACNAAAATATTTACTACCAGTGTTCCAAATTTTACGGAATTTCACCGAGGGAAACGCGAGAAAATTCACTGTCAGTTTTGCTTTTTGTTCTCATTTTCACGTCATAAAATATCGAAAAACACTGACATTTTCCCTCGAGCGCGCGTAGATTACTTGAGCTTTCGTTCTCAGCGCGCGTGCGATCGTAAAACTATGGGGAGCCACCTTAATGCTCGGATTCGATTTCAGTTCGTGAAGTTATAGCTAGTTTTCCTCGCTCCCGCTATGTGGGATTCTTCTTCCAAATGCGACTTATATTTCTTCACTGTTATTTGCGTAGCATGGAGATTTTGTCCTCAGGAGTTGGATTTTCTCGCGGTGGATTCCACGGCCGTGATTAAAACTTATAATCTGACGTTATCAAGAAGAGCTTTATAGAGACTCGCAAGACCGCGCTGTTCCTAGAAACTGTCTCGAAAAATGCTACGGTGGCCTCAACGAAACTGTTCGCTTTGGTTTCCAAAATGTGATATGCGATCTATCGCGCCGGCTATCAATCTAAAAAACAGCAGGAAAAAAACTACTCTTCAAGTTTGCTTCGTTCTTTTTACTAGGCCAGCCTCACCTTCGGGTATTTTGACACTCTTCTTCTGCTAACGACAACAGCAAAAAAGAAAACACTGTTCGCTGGTATTGAAGGGCTTTGCACGTTTCTTCACGTAGAATTGCGGGCTTTACTGAGCAGCGGACCGCCTTCACGCGTGCCCAAAGGGAGATCTTGCAAAGCCAAGATTTTAATCTGCGCGTACAACGCGCGCTAGAAATTCCTCATCCAAGAAGCTAATATCTCAAAAACTAATCCGGTGACCCTCCTGTTTTAATGCAAAAAATTATTCCATAGCAAAAGCGAAATGCATGTACCAAATTGTAAAAAAAACAACAACGACAAAAAAAATATCTTTGGAGAGGAATTTTTCCAATCTTGAAATTTGTATTTTTTTTAAATTTAGGCAAAATCTACTCCACGGAATTTTTTCTAATTTTCCCTGTTTCTTCTGTGTGTAATAAAAAGATTTTTATTAAAAAAAATATGGGGTCACCGGCTTAGTTTTTAAGATAGATGCAATTGATGATAAAAAGTGGGTCTAATTTGTTGCCATGCAACAGATCAGTGCAACCTTAATTTATGACTTAAACACAATGAAAGGTACAGTGGAGAGTTAGCTTAAAGAAATAGCACAGCCATTCAAAACAGTACAGTTCCCAGCCTGAAAAGTCGCACCTAGTTCTAAAAGTCTCAAAAGCCGAGCGCAATTTACACCACCAGCGCACTTCGGTAAGACCAAACAAAGCCAAGTGGAGTTAGTTTTTCACTTTCTTTTGCTCTTGGTTTTCTGTTTTTCTGTTATTTTGTCTTTGCTTGTATTTTTTTTATTTTGCATCTTGTGAAACACAAGAAAAAACATCTAAAATGAAAGCGAATTTGCAAGCTGCTGAGTTGTTTTTATCGTCTGCTCGTTGTCGCTGACGCAAGCACGGCGGTCCCCACTTTTAATGCGTAAATTTAAAATTACACAAGGTTATCTACAATATATTTGAAGAAAAGTTTAAAATTCTGCTTAAAAATATTTTGGTTTTAATGCTGTAAAGAACACGTCTTTATAGTGCTGGGTATGTGTGCACGCAGAGAATTCTTCAGTCTGTAGTATAATTGTGACTCATGTTTAACTAACATGGTTTAAAATGTAAGTTCAGGGTCTATTTTGTTTAACTTCTCTAATAAATTAATCCAATAAGTGCTTTTCTTAGAGTTTCTAGTGCCCCTTTCTGGTAACTATGGTGAAGTAATGACAACCTCGTTGGTCGCAAAGTCGCTATAAAGGCCATCAGTATTGTGCAAAAACCAGCACGGTGACCCCTATTTTTCATTGCATTTTTCTGATATACATAACATGATTGCCAACTGGATGAAGTTTGAGAACTTTTGTAATACTCCTTCTTTTTAAGTGGAATCACCTTAAGTGCACTAGTATTAAGTTATTGGTGCTGACCTTTGCAATTTTAGGACGTCTCTCATCTTTTTGTAAGGTAAGGGTACCAATGCTGGGCAAATTATCATCATCAGCTTCTGTTTCAAACAAGATAATAAACCCAGTTAATTACTTGACTCATCAAAATTATCCGGATGTCCAGTGGTCAGTTATCATCTGTAAGGTGTGCAGAAGGTCATGAGGGACGAATCACAGTTTTCTCTGGATCACCTTTTGCTGCTGACTTTTAGCTGGTACAAATTTATGTAAATCTTTCTTCTGTACTGGGCGATCTCAGGGAGCAAGTCGAAGAAACCTGCGGCGGTTGGGCTTCTGACATAAATGCTGTGGGCTAGGAGATTTCCTAGATTATAAGTGTGGCGGCTTGTGACAAAGCTGAACAGATGTTGAACCTTTGACATGATCTCAAAAATCAGCATATCATAAAGTACGTTTAAGCCTAGTGACCCATAACATAACATAACATAACGTAACGTAACGTGACGTGACGTGACGTGACGTGACGTAACGTGACGTGATGCGAGGTGAGGTGAGTTGACTTGACTTGACGTGACGTGACGTAACTTAACGGAGCGTTTGGTAGCGTAGTATACCATGACGTAGCACAACATAACAAATTTAAACACAGACCCAAGAGGCAAGTAGGCCTGCTTTTGGCTATGCATGGAACATCTGGCGAACTCCTACATAATTTTATAACTTGGATTGTTATTCAAGAAAAGGCCACTCGCTGCCCAACGTTTGCCAGGCGAAGTCAATCGATAAACCGATAGTCGATATCAATCGATAACAATCAACATCAATCGATGAAAATCGATGAAGAAAAAATATTGTGAGTAATCAATTGTTATCGATTTCCGGTAATAATTGATAACGATTGATTCATCGATTGGTATCGATTGGTATTGAAAATTATTTCTGTCTTTTTACTAGGTACACTGATAAAATGGTTGACAAAATTTCTTTGTAATGGTGTCATTGAGTCATTTTATCTTCACAGGCTGCGTATCTTTTACAACCACCAACAAAATAACACATGGTGACAAGAACGAAAAGAACTAACAAATTCGGTTTGTGCTTTACATCTCTCTTTGAAACAGAAGAGCTTCTGCTGATCCAAGCTCGGCACTGGTTTCTTGCGTCACATATTCAACATCACAAACCTTCTGATCAGTGTATTAACAAGTATATGCAGCTATATTTCAGCAAGAGACAGGCAGGATATGTTTCATTAGATAGTAACGATCATGGTTGTTGGAATCTTTCCAGATTTGTTCGAAGTCCACAGTATGACACAAACATCATTCAGTCCATGGTAATTGTAAGACCGTGTATTAAACGTTAAAATAAGACTGACCGGAAAGGAAACAGCAATGTAATGTAATTTACCCAGTGACTAATGATAACATGGAGGAGAAAAACCTTTAAAAGATGTCAGTTTGTGTGTAGAGAGATATCACCTTTACATGAACAAAACATTTGCTACCTTCAAGGTTTCATATTGACAGCATTAACTTTTACTTTAGACCTCACCTTCCAGCGCCTTGCCGTAATACATCCTCAGGGAGAAAATGCTGTCCTCGAGATCTAAAAGAGACATGAACATTTAGTCTGTCTTGAATGGCTAATACATCACCGTCAGGGTAGCTTTACAAAGTTTTCTTTCCAAGGGAGCAGACATTTGTCACAAAACCAGTACATTATACCAGTTAACTTCTATAAATTAAAACTACACTTTACAGTCACTAAGCGTTTTTCCCAAAGAAGAGTAAGTTAGAATTGAATATAACAGGAGCCTTTCCAGGAAGGCATGCTCTAAATCATGATTACTAACTACTTGTGAACCGAGAGTGAGGTCTTCACGGGAAAATCTCAAACCGAGACCTTGACGTATTGTTGTTAATTAAAAGGCTTTTTGCTTTACTTTGGCAGGCCCGTAATCGGCCCGTGGATATCACGGGAGAATAATTCCCTGTTATTAGCCAATGAGAGCTCGTTATATCGCCTACAAACACAAGCGATATAATAATGCATTATATCAGTAGCTTAACAACCCAAAGCAATTTGCAATCACCTGAGATTTCATCTTCAATGCCGCCAGATGAATCACTGTCATCACTATCCCCTTGCTTTGCGGACAGCAATTTTTGAGCTTCACTTTCTATTTCATTCAGTTTCTCAGTCCACCTTTCTAAAGCAAGTTTTGCAATCTTTTTAAGCTGCATATCATCAAAATGGCGCGACACAAACTGCATTCGCTCATTTTCTTCGAACCAGTACCAATGGCTTGCTGCTTTCAGTTCAGCCTGAAAGTTGCTTTCTTGAGGAGTAATAGGAGGGTTGTCTTTCAAGTACTCTAAAACAGCTTGCACAAGGACGCTGACATTCATTCGAGTCATTCCTCTTGGGCAGGACAGTGGGAATGAAGTTTGTGTCCACTCGATTGATCCGAGTATTTCCTTTAATTTTCCATCACAATCTTGTTCCCTTGGTGTTTCCTAAGAGGAAATGAGAGTTAAGCCCAGTACATTTTGCATTTCTCGTCCGTTGTTTTGTAAATATCGCGTACACATACAAGTTGCAATTGTTGCCTCGTTTCTCCCAGTCTAGTGAGCCACGCATACTGTTCAGCAGAGTGACTAAAGGGACAGTCTCACGGGCTACGCATGCGCGACTATCTGCCTCTCGAAGCGCTCACGCAGTAACTTGCCGCCATTACAGGTATGGATTCGCCGGTAAGTCTTAATATTAAACTTGCCCCGGACTAGTATTTTTTAAACCAGAACCCGCAAAATCGAATGTTTTCCGTTTAGGAAACTCTACCAGAATGCTGTAAATACAAAAGTTCTTGCAGCATCAAGCGCAAAGTTACGAGTAAGCGTGGTTGTCCATGTAAAGGCCGTAATGTGCACAGTGGAGACCATTGTCGATGTGGCGGAAAAGAGAAGCCGTGCAAAAACAAGGTAAGTTTATAAACTATAAATCTGTTTATAGTTTGGTTTCTGACGTTTTATTAGTAGTTCAGTTTAAGTCTGAAATTATTCCTGTTCTTTCTGTGCTTTTAGGAATCGCAAGATACAAACGCTACTTTACCACGTGTGAGAAATGTGCGCGCGCGAAGCGATCATGGTTTTCAGCTTCCGAGTGCTAACGGTGCTAACGATCGCCTAACCGAAGAAGCGGAGAGAATTAAAGAAAACAACAACGTAAAGGTAACGTTGAAATCATACTCTGAGAAATGCAGCGACTGGTCACTTACTGATTTCCCATAATCTACATACAGAGCATGGAGAGTCAGTATATATCGATAAGTTACGTTTGTTTCACTACAATTCTGTCGATTTTCATTTTTTTTGAACCTGCTTATGATTGCGCTCTTCGTATTTCCTTCAGCTTGTAGGAAGATCATTCCTAATTTGTTTGGAAGACTATTTGTTTGGAGGACTTTTTGTTTGATCTATCTTTGTTTTGTTTCATTCATCTAATAAGAATCTAAGGATACATTTGATGCCCAAATGATACGGAAACTGGCTATTCGTCACTTAGAAGAGGAGTTGGGAGTGTGGACAACATCCATACTCTCCTTATTATGGAAGATGACCTGAATGACGAGCCTTCTCCTGATGTGTTGTCCATAGAATGTAATTCCAATGTACCTGATGGAGCAACAATTGTGCATGTTTCATCCAAACCAGGTCCCTCTGGAGGCCAACATGTGGTTGATTGGTACGTGTGTGGGCATTGCAAACCAATGCCGCAAGAGGTACAAAATAAATGTTGTAAACTGAAAGGTTGCATCACAACAACTGATCGATTTGCTAAGCTCTGTTTAGATCAGGACGTGTTAGAGCTATGCTGCGAAATATGGGAGAAATTCGCAATGATAGAAAAGACAATAGCACAAGATCTTTTCGCAAGGCTGCATACAGACAGTTTAACTTGGCCAGGCATGGACTTTTAGGCAAAGGAAATAGAAGGGTCTGTCCTTATTGTGTGGTTTTACGAATAAGAAGGCAATATCCCTCACTTACCGGTCTCTACGTGGGTGATCGCGAACGTAAATAGTAATATATTGTTCTAGTGTTTTATTTTACAAATAAAATTTTGTAAGCAAAGCAGTCTAGGTGCTCCTAAACTTGACATTGTGGCCAAAAGCCTCCTTAAGTTACCACTTTGACCTGGGTTTACTCTGGATTTTGATTACTTTGGTATAAGAATTGTGATTTCCATTGTTTGGTACAAATCATATGATTGGTTGAGCCAAACCAGGGCTTGACAAGCCGGAAGAATAGTTTTTGGTTCTGTCATAGAAGATACCTTTGTTCCTTCAAACATTTTTTATTTTCAAAATATTTCAAGAGGCAAATTCATTTTGGAAAGACCAGCTACATTAAAAAAATTATTCCTAATGTTAAAATGGCTGGAGTAAATGCAACAAAAACAGACAGAAATAAAAGTAAAACCATGACAAAGTGCATATATATGTGCAAGTGAAGTCTTTTCATACAACAATAATTAGTACCCCCATCAGCATCTTGGCTTTTTAATTTTTGTAAGTTTTGAATTCAAAAGGTCTCCTTATTGCCCTTTTTGCCCCAAATTATTGTTGTTACATTCATATGTGCCCAGAAGATTGCTGAAACCAAGAGAGAGGGATCAGCAATACATGGGGAAGAAATCACATTGTAAGCCATGTACACGTAACTGTCTATTTTTCACTGAATTTGTGCTGTGTGGAATCTTGACAAAGGGAATTCTTTCTCAAAAAAGTAACAATGCACATGTCCATATGTTTTGTTGAAGCAACATTAGACTCCCAACCTTTCGAGAGCTAACTTTGAGAAATGCACCTGCAACTGAGCAAGAGTGATACATTTCCTTTTCAGTTTTAATTCATGTTTCCTTTGTCATGTTATATGAAAACAAGTACAGTAAGAGTTCCTGGAAGCAATGTCATGAATGTAAATATGAATGAATTTCTGGTATTATTGTAATTGAAAGAGATACAGGTGCTACCTGCTTACCCTATAAATAAAAGTTGCATGTTTGTTATGATCCTCTGTATATATGTACACAGAAATCTAGTGTCAGTTGACATCAGATTAATAATTAACAATCAGACCCGTAGCCCGCAAGGCTTACGGGTTAATAGCCTATGAGGCGTAGCCGAATGGGCTATTCACCCGTGGCCCTTGAGGGCGAAGGGTCTAATTGTTTTAGTATCAGCTAACTAGTCGCAGAGAAAAGGCAATAGGGGACTTTAGATTTGAGTACGAGTACGAGATCGAGTACGAGAACAACTTTTTAGTTCTAGTTTTCAGGCTTCACATTATCACAACACATACCCATCTTATCCCATGAGCNGTGTTAAGTTTGTCATCAGTCATTGGTCGGTTTCGATCCGTATATTGTTAGTCAAATTGGTCGGTTTTTGGACCAATTGTCACCAACAACAGTTCTTTTCAGAGCTACTCTCACCCGGACGATCACACTATAGGAACTACTGATACTCCTGGGTTCAAACCATATACTAAATAGTAAGGAATGTTACTATGATTATATTGTATGAAAACATCTAAAACTCTATAAACTAAAAGCAAATGCCTTACTTGCAATTTAATCAGAACAATTTCCTTCAAATTGGGATGCCTCTCTGCTACTAGGGTATCTGGTATAGAGGATCTGGATGTTTTCCAGAGGCAAGCAACTGGAGTAGCTCTTGTGCTTCTTCTTGGCTGGTCTTGATCAGGTGGATAATACAAACGGGGATCCGTAATAAGCCAAACTGCAAGTCAGTCATGAAAAAAAGTCAATCATGAAGTAAACTATAGATA